CAGACACACACACACACACTCACACACACACACACACACACACACATCAATGAGACGTGCTCAGAGTCAGTGTGTGATGATCTCATGCTGATTAAAACACACACTCATTGTGTATGCTGGAGGATTTGCTGCTCAACAGATCCTGAGCTCACTGACAAATATCTGATCTTCCTTTACACAGTGATCGCGAAATCGAATGTGAACAGCGAGCGCTCATTCAACAGAGATTTCAATACCCCGCATATTGATACACAGAGCGCGCGTGATCGAAAAGTGAAAGTGAACAGCAAGCGCTCATTCAGAAGAGATTTAAATACTCCGCATACTGAAAATTATATGCAATATTCGAATGTTTGCGGTAGACTGGACACAAAAATCGCGGGAGCGGGCGATAATGGTCAGAAATTCAGCGGGAGCGGGATTAAGAAAACGGTCTCTTGCAGGGTTCGAATACAAAAACGCACACGATGAATGGCGACTGTAGAAAGCAAATAAAATGACATTTTGGGTGATTTAGAAATCCCGACCGGATGCATTTTTTAGGTCAGAAAAGAGGACTTATCCGGGAAAAAAGAGGACGTATGGTCACACTATTAAAACTAGAATTTCCCCTTTGTATAACCAACAAAAATAATTTTAAGCGCTTTAAAAGCGGAACATTTTGAAAGTTTATAACATTCAGAAATAGCGTTTTTATAACTCAAATGGAATGTTAACAAAACGTCGGAACGTGGCAAATGATTGTTTGATTTTACAGGACATTTTTATGCCACACATAACACTTTTATTATTGTTCATGAACATTTATTTAGATGTATAGATTAAAGTAATAGATTTACATACAGCAGGTATTGGCATGAACACTTCCTTCTGCTTTGACACAGTTTAGCAGATCAATACAGTGAAAACCACTCTGGCATACGAACTGTCTTCAGTATTTTACAGTAAACACAGAACTCTCCAGCTCTGTAGGAGAATCTGTTCACAGATGCAGCTGATTAAGCATTGAAAATAGCCTACTTAAACACCCATTCACCCAACACACATCACATAGATAATGGATTGCGCCAGGTTTGTGTTTGTCCATCAGACCTCATTTTGGTCACATGTTATTGATAATGACCGTTCAGATGGACGTTTGGTTTTATCCATTTGTTGAAACCGTTTACTGTCACGGTGCTTGAGGTTGCACACACATGCACAAGCACAGAACATCTGAAAACATGATGAAAAAAAAAACAGACAGTCAACAGTCAACAAATAAAATCCTCTATTTACTTCCTTAAAACACGTCCCTTGTCTTATAACGAATAATGAATCAGTGACATTATTCTAGATAGTTAAAAATGTTTTTCCTCATAATTTAATCAGAACGCAAGAACTTTTCTCTACCGCTGAAACAACTTTCCTGGTTCCGTGACGTCATCAATCCCTCCTGTTGTTCAGCCTGTGTGAACGCAGCTCCCTTTTCACCGCCCAATTAATTCCTTGTGGATAAAATCCTTCCCTTCGCTTTTTAAATGCCTTATTTCACTAAAATAAAATACATCCCATTAGGGAAGTAAAATAAGTTTGGCGTGAATGCATGATCACGTGTTGACCTGAGGACGGACACAGACACACTTGCTGAAGGCAAACCGGTTTATGATGATCAGAGAACGAAACTCCCTCCACACACCTGCACAAAGACTCAAGAAAACAGCTGCTGCGCTGATAAGGGCCTGTAGAATATTCTGAAAACACTGACAAACTGTGAAGCGTCTGGGATATTTGGTCAAACCTTCTGCTGCATCAGTTCTAGAGTAACTGAGTTAACTTAATCTGAACTGAGTTACAATCATGAACGCAAAACTAACAGCACTCTTAAAAATACAGGTTCTAAAAGCGTTTTCACAGCGATGCAATAAAATAACCATTTTGTTTTCCTGAGGAACCCAGCTAACAGAGAACATTCTCGGTATAAAGACACATTTTACAGTAATATTAATAGAATGTTCGTTCAGAGTTGTCTGCTCTTTAACAGTGTTCTCAAAACGTTCGCACAAAACATTATTTATACATTGTTCCTGAAACGTGTTATTTCTGAAGTGTTTTAGTTGGACGTTCGTCTAACATCTTTTAAACGTTACTCCTTGTTTCAGAACATTCAGAGAACATTCAAAAGTAACGTTCACATGTTTGCAAAATTATAAAATCGAATGTTCCTTTAACATTTGTATAACCAAGAAACAATGTTTTTAAAACTTAAAAAAAAAATTGGACGTTTTGATCATTCAGAAATAATGCTGTCATATTCTAAATTAAACGTTCTTAAATATTTTAATGATCTGATCTTTAATAATGCTTTAAAAAACGTTAGCACAAAAATGTTATTTATACAGTACATCATACATGGAATGTCGTATTTCTAAAATGTTTTAATTGTTCATCTAACATTTTTTTAAATGCTGCTACTTGTTTTAGAACGTTCATTGAACATTTAACAGTAATGTTCACATAATGTTTGCAAAATTATAAAATGGAACGTTCCCTTAATGTTTGTATAACCAAGAAAAACGTTTTTAAAACAAAAACGGGATGTTTTGAATGTTTAGTGAACATTCAGGAATAACATTTTCATAACTTCATGGGAATGTTAACAACATATTTTTGTTAGCTGGGAACCTTTCAGTGATCAGTTCTTAAAAGAAGTATTTTTTTCTTAGTGTAAAGAACATTTGAATAAACTAAAGGATGTTTTTGCACTATAAAGGACGTTTTGTCCAATGGAACGATGGTTCTTCAATTCCTATAGAGAACCTTTATTTTTGAGAGTGTGAGCACATTAAAGTGACCCTATTATGGATTTTTGAAAATGACCTTTCATGCAGTGTGTAACACAGCTCTAAGTGAATGAAAACATCCTGCAAAGTTTTAACAAGTAATCGTTGAGCAATTAAGGTAAAAATAAATGCATATTATAAGACAATGAAAGTGTTTTTTGACCTTGCATGCATGTCAACCTGTTGTTGGGGACTCCCAAAACCAAATTATGAACGTTTCATAACCCATAATAGGGGCACTTTAATGCTAAGGTCTCGGTCCATTTACACAAATAACCTAATTTTCCAATATAAATCAGTCATTTGTGTAGCATGGAGAGTTTTACAGAATCTTCTACTGCTGATCAGAATGGTGTACGGCGAGTCAGTTGGTGCCGTGACCCTGCTCTGGTTCAGTACTCCTGCCGCTGGTACCCCGCTGACCCGTCGAACACGCCGTCGCCGCTCTGCTGGTACGACCCGGTTCCTCCCGGACTCTCCAGAGCGTCTCCAGTGCTGTAGGAGCTGTACGGCACGGTGCCGGCGTCCTGGCTGGGGTCGGTGTAGTCCTGCGAGAACAGAGCCGAATCCGCACCCAGCTTATACCTCTGAAATGCTAGGAAGGCCTGAGTGGCCTGATGATGCAGGTGCGGATGAAGGAGGTTTTTAACATGGGAATGATGGATTAGGGTTCAATGCAGCGTTAAAAAAAGACAATGTGGGAAAGGATGAGGTTGTGAAGGATGGAAAGAAAATATGATATGAAGAAAAGAGAGAAAGATCAGATTCAGTTTGATTAGTCAGAAAACAGAAGATCTACAGGTTACAGTAACAACATGATCATCAGCACACATCAACATCGTTTCGTTTTTTAATATCCCGTTTGACTTGGAAAAAAGCCTCATTATGGAAATAAAATGGGTTGTGAACGTTGTTTCACGAACACACTTCTGCCAGAGACTGATTGTTTAACTTTACTCAATGCAGAGCAGCGCATTACATCAGTATGTTTTCATTGACTGCCGAAAACATGCTGAATCCTGACCTGGAGCATTCTGAGGGCATGTAAATGTTAATTCTGCATCTCAGTTCTGATTCTGAGTCTTTAATGAGCTTCTGAGATGGATTCATTCCTTGAGATGACCGCTGAGGCTCGAGTCTCACACACACTCGGAGGGATGGTGTTTATTCATGTGTGTGTGTGTGTGTGTGTGTGTGTGTGAGTGAGTGAGTGAGTGAGTGAGTGAGTGAGTGAGTGAGTGAGTGAGTGAGTGAGTGAGTGAGTGAGTGAGTGAGTGAGTGAGTGAGTGAGTGAGTGAGTGAGTGAGTGAGTGAGTGAGTGAGTGAGTGAGTGAGTGAGTGAGTGAGTGAGTGAGTGAGTGAGTGAGTGAGTGAGTGAGTGAGTGAGTGAGTGAGTGAGTGAGTGAGTGAGTGAGTGAGTGAGTGAGTGAGTGAGTGAGTGAGTGAGTGAGTGAGTGAGTGAGTGAGTGAGTGAGTGAGTGAGTGAGTGAGTGAGTGAGTGAGTGAGTGAGTGAGTGAGTGAGTGAGTGAGTGAGTGAGTGAGTGAGTGAGTGAGTGAGTGAGTGAGTGAGTGAGTGAGTGAGTGAGTGAGTGAGTGAGTGAGTGAGTGAGTGAGTGAGTGAGTGAGTGAGTGAGTGAGTGAGTGAGTGAGTGAGTGAGTGAGTGAGTGAGTGAGTGAGTGAGTGAGTGAGTGAGTGAGTGAGTGAGTGAGTGAGTGAGTGAGTGAGTGAGTGAGTGAGTGAGTGAGTGAGTGAGTGAGTGAGTGAGTGAGTGTGTGTGTGTGTGTGTCTGTGTGAGTGAGTGTGTGTCTGTGTGTCTGTGTGAGTGAGTGTGTGTGTGTGTGAGGTCAGGGCTGGGTAAAGAGTTCCTCGTACTCCTCTTCAAAACACACTCGTTTGAGTCTCTCCAGAGAGACCAGTGTAAGAGCTCCCTGAAACACACGCCAACACACCAGAAATCATCAACACAGCTCCAGCACAACACTCATGTGTTTAATTACAGCAGCTACAGACCCAGGTAAAGATGGAGAAGAAGGAGAAGGTGATGGCGGCCCGCGCCGCGTCTGCACCCGACCGCAGCGGGTTGTCCTCTGGTTTGGCCACCTGCCACTGATTGGCCAAGAAACAGAAGCCCACGAACCAAACGAAGGACCAGAACGCTGGAACAGACAGACATCGACACACAGAGACTGTAAGAGACCGACGACACACCACAGTCACTGGAAAAAAATTAGTTGTAAAACAAAGATTACTGGAGTACTGTTTACAAGAAAATACTGCTTCAGTCATTCTACTTAAATTTCATGTTTAATTTAATGCACTACTTGCTGTTTCTTTTTTGAGTGAATATTGTTTCAAAGTATTTTAGTGTATATCCTGTGTTTGTGTATATGAACATAATAATTTCCTAATAATCTGTAATCATTATTGTGGTTTACTGTGTAAACTGTATTCCCAGCTAATGTTCTCACAATTTTCCCTAACACTAATTATATAAATGCTAGGACCAGTGCTGTAGTCGGGGCCATACGCAAGTATACGCCGTATGCTTACTTTTCCCCGGGATGTTTGCGTATTACGACTTCTAAGGATCAGTATTCGCGTATACCCTCGGTATACCCACTTGTTTTGCTGCTTCGCAAGTCCGTAATCTACTGTCATGTAGCTTCCCCTTTAATGGTGTCCCATACTGCTGTGTGAAATTCGTGATTCTTTGTAATTGGTGCAATATCACTTCTGTCATTCAACGCCGCTCATTGTCGCTCGCGCTCGGTGTTTTGAGCCGCACTGAGCGCAGTTCTCGTGCTGCAACAGTGGATACACGCCGTAAGGAAATATGGTAGTGAGTGCACGGATTTGAGTGGAGGCATTCTCTCGTTAGTAGCCTATCGAAAAAGGAAGCCCAATATGATAGTGCGGCCACGACGTGAAACAATTACTTTCGAATATTTTTACTAACACCCCGACCCGAGCCTCCGTTACATAAAATATAGATCTAACAGAGGAATGAGCCGTATGCAGTTACTGAAGAGAGAGAGAGAGAGAGAGCAGAAGAGAGCGCATTAATGTGAATTGCTCGCATATGACCGGCTTTCCCAAAACTATTTTATTGATAAAGTCTTTGTGTGTGTAAGAGAGAGAACACGCTGTCCAACAATTAATGCCACGGATCCCCAAATATAATCCCTTAGTCACTATAGTTTTGTCTGTTAACTTAGCTGAGTATTAAACTGCTAGCAACTGTTAGGCTATCAGGAGCACCCCATTATTATCATGTCAGAATACTGTATGCTAAAGGACATCATACTGTAAAGTAACATTAATACATTTAGCAGACAGATATTCGCATG